GCTCCCTGCCCCACAGCAGGGTGGGCAGGTGGTCCCAGCCCCCCATGGTACCCCCCTTTGCAGCCCAGCAGCCAGATCCCACCCCAGGAGACCCCGAGGGAGCCCTGGACCTGGGGCTGGCTGAGGACCACTTCTCCCGCCCCGTGGTGAGTAGGGTGGGCAGTGTGGGGATTGGGGGGGATGTGTGGGGCTCAACTCACCCTCCTGCTCCGTCGGTGGTGGTGGTCGCAGGGGCTGATCCTGGCGTCGGATGTGCCGCAGCTGCGCAGAGCCATCGAGGAGTGTAAGCGGGTGATCCTGGCACTGCCCGAGCACTCGGAGCGGCAGAAGGATGCTGTGGTCCGGCTCATCCACCTCCGCCTCAAGCTACAGGAGTTGAAGGTGAGACTGAGACAAGGGCTCAGGGTCTCCATGGCTGAGGGGAGCCACACAGAGGCCCCATCCTTGCAGTGTTCAAGGCCAGGTTGGATGGGGCTTGGAGCAACCTGGGCTAGTGGAAGGTGTCCCTGTCCATGGCAGGGGGTGGAACTGGATGAGCTTTAAGGTATCTCCCAACCCATTCCATGATTCTGTGGTTCTGTGACCCCCCCCCTTCCCTCCCACAGGACCCTGCTGAGGATGAGCCCAACATCCGTGTGGTCCTGGAGCATCGCTTCTACAAGGAGAAGAGCAAGAGTGTCAAGCAGATGTGTGACAAGTGCAGCACCATCATCTGGGGGCTCATCCAGACCTGGTACACCTGCACAGGTGGGTCTGGGGCACCCCGTCTGTGTCCCTGTCTCCCCCATTCCCATGCTGACACCCACCCGTGCCCCTCAGGCTGCTACTACCGGTGCCACAGCAAGTGCCTGCCCCTGGTGAGCAAGCCCTGTGTGCGGGCCCAGGTGAGCCACCGTGCCGAGTACCAGCTCAGCATCTGCCCTGAGAGTGGGCTGGACAGCCAGGACTACCGTTGCGCCGAGTGCCGGACCCCCATCTCCCTCCGTGAGACCCCGGGGAGCTGGGAGCTCTTGGGGGGCTAGACACTGTCCTGGGTGGAGGGTAGCTTGAGGCACTGTGAGGTTGGGGAGGCTGTGTTGGGGCTGGGGGGAGCTGGGGTGAGCCAGGGGCTCTGTGA